AATGCTAGCTCAGCTTCCATTCCTGTTCCCTGTTTTTCCGATAAACTGCTTTAATGACGAAGACAACCTTATTCTCTCATGCACGTCCATAAAAGAATAGTTAGTTGCAGACTATTCTCTAACACAAATTACGCTTGGCATGTGCAAAACTGTCTTATGTATGTTTTTTTCCCTCCAAAACGGTGCAATAAACAGTTGTCTGGTTTTGTATGAATTTTTTTTTCTCGATTCAAGGATAGTGAAAAAACTGGATGTTCTAAAACTATTGCTCGTCGTATAAATCAACGACGTTATCGACGTTATTTTCTTTATATATTTTTCGATCTTTCCTATGGCATGACAAAGTTATCTGATTTTGATAAAATTTAATTTTTGGAAGAAATCAAGTCGATATGATCACAAACAAGGGCGTGATAATTATAATATTTCCCCGTATTTTTTTCGATTTTTCCCATGGGAGCTGTCCGATAAAGTCGCCGATCCGCCCTTTGCGAATTATGTTCAGCGTGCAATATTTACACAACAGGCAGTCTAGACACGTTTAGTTCGACTCAGATCGTGATGCTGATCAAGAATAAAAATACTTTATGGGCAGCTATGTATGTAGGTGTCTTCTTAACTGCGCGGCAAACGATTTGAAATTTAATGCCTTGAAATTTAAATACCCTCTGTAAGGACCAAGCATCGTTCTGCGGTTATTAAGAAAGGGCAAATTACACTGTGCGACAAAATTTAACAAAATCTTTGTTTAAGTTACTTTTTTGATTGTTTTCGGTTAAGGTGCATAAATTATGCACAAAAATATTTATGCCCACTTTTAAGTGATAAGATTTCTTTTTTCATGCTAAATTTTATGAAATTATTATTATGAAAATAATTAACACAAAATATTATTTTTTTTACTTTCAATAAACTATAATTTTTTTTTAAAGTGATTTTTTTTCTGATTTTTTTTGGATTTTTTAGAGGTATCCTCGCGTAACAAGTTCCATACGTAGTCGCCCAGAGTATAGAGCTGGGAAAAAAAAAATTTAAAGCATTGTTATAAAAGCCTAACGGTATATTTGCTTAATATATTTTAATTAATAGATATTGAACTTGCATTAACCCTTATAACGGTGAAAAAATATTTTCCCAATATGTGATTATAAGGCTGTGAAATATGCAAAAACACGCGTTTTTGGGACATTTGAGTGTGCGTAGAAGCTGATTGGCTATTGATATTAACAAATCCACAAACTTATATTCTTATTTTGATTAGTAGAAGTGAAAAATAAGAAAAAATCAACTTAAACATTTTTTTGTCGCACAGTGTTATTTAGGAACGTTATGAGTAAAAAAAGACTAAAAACAAATTCGCATTCCAGCATAGGCGGGGTAAAGCAAAAAGCAAAAAAAAAAAAAAAAAACAAACTCCAAACAGCTTCCCCATTTTTAAGGATTGGACGGACCAACATTTCCTGACCACAATTTAAAAATTACTTAATAATAAGCGAGGGAAAAAAGTAATGGTCCCAGTTTGCTCCCTAGTAGTAGATAAAGAATTTTTGAAAGGGACTAGTAGTGACGGCCCCTGAGATATCGCGAGATCAAACTGTGGATATTAACTGGAAACCTTATTATGTCAAGTTTGCGAATCAACAGAAAGTAATTTACATAGTAACAGAAGTCAGTGAAAATGTTATCAATGTAAGGTTTTAAAGGCCAAAAAAAGGGCCATGTTTGATTTTTTTGGGCGGAATGAGTAAGTTTATTTTATTGAGCTTAATTACATGTTATTGTTTAACTTTTGAAGAGTATTAGAAAAAAAATTATAAAAAAGTATTAAGAAATAAGCCTGTGGCGGTTAATCTTCCGAAGCGCCCAAAGAAAAAGTTGTTTTGCAGTGAATATCATAGGGCGTTAACGGATCATCTTAAAAATAAAATGTGATATGCGTTGTAAAGATAATGAATTTCCCGAGGTAATCAGGAAGAGTTTTTTTTAAATTTATTTTTTGTCTATTTTTGGGAGCACTTGAAGTGAAAAGTGCGATTTTAGCTTTAAAAATCGCTATTAATTTATTTTTTATTTTTATTTTTTAAATTAAAAAAAACTTCCCGATTACCTGCGTATTTATGTTGAGAATTTGTGTTAAAAATTTGAAAAGGATCGGTTCAGTAGATTTTGAGTTCTGATGTTCACCGACTTTCAAAATAACGTCTTTGGCAAAATCGATTCAAAGTATTTTTATACGTGAAAATACGTCCAAATACGGTTGTTTAAAACGCTGTAACTCTGTTAGTTTGACTTTAATTGACTCAAATTTTTTATACTGATACTGTCGTATTTGATTCATTTTATGATTCAGCCTTCTGCAGATAGTTTAAAATAACTTGGTGACTAGCTCCCATCTCCTGGGCGATGTCACGAAATGCCACATGCCGATTTAATTCGATGTGTTCCATAATTTACTCGGTAATCGTCGTCACAAGTCTTCCACCGGCTGGCTTAATCCATTCCTCTGAGGTTTGAAGTGATGGAGTTTCATCCCCGAAAACACTAGCATATTTGACATAACGAAGAAAAAATGTAAATTAGCGCGAATCATCTCGGCGTTCGTGAACACAATGCTGTAGTATACTCTAGTCACCCTGTACATATAACTGTAACATACTCTAGTCACCCTGTACATATACATAAGCTAGTTTTGTAAGTATTAGTAATAAGCAACTCTTTATAAAAAAGGACCCTGCAAGCCTTTGGAAGATAAATTTATCCCCTATCGTCTAGAAGACACTTCTTAGTCACTTCTGGAAGATAGAAAGACGATAGAACACATTTTACAAAAACAAAATACACATCTATCCCGAAGAAGACACTTCTGAGTCACTTCTGGAAGATAGAAAGACGATAGCACACATTTTACAACAACAAATATACAAAAAAAACTATCTCCCAATTCACTTCTGGAAGTTGAAAGGAAGATAGTAAAGCAAAGGTCCCAAAAATTTACCGATATTCTGGTTTTACTGAACATTTTTTTGTATTTTCCTTTGACCCGCGTACTGATTTTGCTGCAAAGCGTCATTCAGTTTCTAGATTGCTGACTTGCCAGTTCAAGTCTGAAAATTGTTAAGTGTTTAAAGATATTATTGCGTCTAACAACAAACAAAAATGCAGCACATGTTAAGATCAACTATTTTTTATATAAAGGTAATGCACATCAGTTTCTAAATATGCTTTTCATTTTAATAATATTATTTGTTTGTTTGTTTTCTTTTAGAGTTTACATTTGTTAAATTTCTGGATGATTCAGAGCTGAAAAATCAAAAAATCTTTCATCAACAGTTCATCGGGTGTACAAGCGTCGAAAATATACAAAATTATATTTAAAAAAATATATTAACATACATATAAGTTATCATATTTAAAAAAAAATTAAATTTTTAATAAATATAGTAAAAATATTTTATATTATTTTTTTCCAATTGGGAATATTCTTCTGGGTAACTTCTGGAAGTGTCGCGGAAGTCACTTCTGGGGGTGACGCAGAAGTCACTTCTGGAAGTGTCGCGGAAGTCTCTTCTGGGGGGTGACGCAGAAGTGTCACAGTTCTTCCCGACGGACGTCACTTCCGCGATCCGAAAGCGATAGTCGCGGAAGATAGTTTTATCTTCCAGAAGTCACTCAGAAGTGTCTTCCGCGATAGAAAAGGCTTGCAGGGGAGACAAATAAAGATCAGTTCAATGAGAGCACCGAAAGACGGCGGTTGTGTTTGTTGCTACAATGCCTACACGTTCACAACCTTTAAACGCAATATCCAAAATAATCTTGCATAGCGTCGATTTGAAGGTTATGTCAAGACTTTTTAAATAATGTGTAGTTGTCAGATACGAGCTCTTTATACATAGGCGCAAAATTCAAAAGACAAAAAGGCGTAATAGAGATATTTGACAACCTTTTATATTCACCGTCTAAACCTATCTATCTATCTATCTATGCAAGAGTACTAATCTTGATTTCTAGTTTTTAAATAATTTTCAAGAACTTACTAATTACTTATAGCGTCAAAAACAGACTTTTTCTGACTTTAAGAACGAATTTCCCTAAACCCTTGTGTAGGGAGCGTTTTCATTGTCGTTTTCCTAAAAAGGCATTTAAACTAATAGAAAAACTTTTAATTAAGTAATTAATCATGCATTTGCGGACGTTGATAAGCGTCGGTAAAAAATATAAAATTTTCTTTTCTTGATCAGCATCACGATCTGAATCGTTCGTCCGTCTGTCTGTTTCGATATAAACTAGTGTAGGGATGTGAATATATGTATCCCAATGAAACACCACGCAGTCAATGTCGCTTTTAATATTCTTTATTTTACTTCTTGCTGATTCAACTACCGGTGTTCAACTGACTCCTCTCCACTCTTGCGATCCCAATCAACCCTCGTTTTAGCGAGAGGCAAGAGTGCAAGAGAATGAGAGCAAGAGTCAGAGAACGTGCAGCTGCATATGCTGTTTCTTGTTAAAACACACGATCTTCCCCGTTATACTTAAAGCTATTTCACAATAATGCGCACTTACAAATAATATAACCATTTACACATACATACATATATATCTACGTAGCCATCCTGCTACACTAGTCTCTAAGTTTTGAAGCTATCTTGCTGAAACATGATGATAACATCGTTGTTTTCCATCAAACAAGCATAATTTTTGCAATATAGAGTTGTCTAATGACTCTCGAGTTTTGAATAGCTGTCATATGAACAGTCTTCGAAAATATAAAAACTTCAGGGAAAAATCCACATAACTTCAATGTTGTTAAGCCTTTATGTATGTTTCGTTTTTATATCTAGATATGCTATTTTCACTAAGCAAATAAGCTTAGTTCTTGAATCTTTAGTCTCTCAGTATTAAAGCATCGACGTTATTACGATTGTTTTCATTATATTCAACAATATCACCGATTTTTCCTTACCGTTTTTTTACTTACATTTTTTTCCTTTATATTTCAGAGATGGAATAGGAGATGGACAGCTAACTACTTGCTTAAAATACGAAATTCCACAATTTGAAGCGATTTGTGGAGATCGGATCAAAGTTACATTTATTGTAGTTCAAAAACGAATCAACACTAGAATTTTTTCGGTAAGTGATTTTGAGATACTCGTACACATCTTAGCGTAAGGGGAGATGGATGTAAAGCTTAATCCTAGAACGTAATAGTTCCTGGCTTTAAAAAGAAAAAGTTTTTGTCGAATTAGTAACCTGCTAGGCTTTTCTAAAGAGCTCTGTCCCCATTGAATGGGGCTGAAATTCTTCTTGCTTGTTATAACCTTGGTATATAAGTATATAAGCTAGACGTGTAGGCCTGTCCGTCTATGTGCATCTATAAAAACTAGTCTCTCAGTATTAAAGCTATCTCAATCTAAAGTTACCAAAAATTGTGTAGTTATTGCACACAGTATATAAGACACAACTGGCCGGATCGGATGACCATATCGGAGGTATATACAGTGGCTCGCAGCTTATTTCGTGCAGTTACCTAAAAAAAGTTCAAATCGTTATTCCTGCTAAACTAAAAAAGATAACTGAAAAATTTAAACGCAGTATTTTAATATGGAATATTAACTTATTTATTGAACGAAAGCGATTTTCTTAATCATAAAAACAAAAAAATTATTTAATAAAAACAAAATGTACAGGGTTTTTCGATGCCGCAGCTTATTTCGTGCAGCAGATTCTACTTAACTTATTATTAGTAATTTAACAGATACGGTTTTGTATGTCCATTTTTCTGGTTCAGGACATCTTTGAGATGATTTCCCATGGAGCAAAATAACTTTTTAGTGGTTTCCAGTGGAATTTTTGCCATTCTTCCATAAGAACAGTTTTCAGGTCGTTTTTGTTCGAAATCTTCCTCTTCCTTATAGCGATGTCCAATATTTCCCAAAAATTTTTGATCTCATTTAAATCTGGAGACTGTGCTGGCGTTATAACGACATGTGGGCAGTTCCAGGTAACCCAAGACTTCACAATTCCTGCTGAATGCTTCGGATCGTTGTCCTGGTAAAATCGAAAACGATCGCGTATGCCCAGTTTTTTAGCAGTTTGCAGTAGGTTATCCTCTAAAATGTTGAGGTACATTGTGGCGTCCTTGATGCCATCCATGAAAATGACTTTGCCCATGCCAGAGGCTGCCTTACAGACCCAAACCATGGCCTAACCAGCGCCATGTTTGACCGTAGATTTCAGGTGCTTATTTTCAAACTCTGTATTTGGTCACAGGAGCACATACTTTCACCGATTTTGTTCTGGGATGACTTTATTTTTGCTGACGAGTCAAAATGTAACATTTTTGGTTCAGATGGACGACCATTTGTGTGGCGGCGACCAAATACAGAGTTTGAAAATAAGCACCTGAAATCTACGGTCAAACATGGCGCTGGTTAGGCCATGGTTTGGGTCTGTAAGGCAGCCTCTGGCATGGGCAAAGTCATTTTCATGGATGGCATCAAGGACGCCACAATGTACCTCAACATTTTAGAGGATAACCTACTGCAAACTGCTAAAAAACTGGGCATACGCGATCGTTTTCGATTTTACCAGGACAACGATCCGAAGCATTCAGCAGGAATTGTGAAGTCTTGGGTTACCTGGAACTGCCCACATGTCGTTATAACGCCAGCACAGTCTCCAGATTTAAATGAGATCAAAAATTTTTGGGAAATATTGGACATCGCTATAAGGAAGAGGAAGATTTCGAACAAAAACGACCTGAAAACTGTTCTTATGGAAGAATGGCAAAAATTCCACTGGAAACCACTAAAAAGTTATTTTGCTCCATGGGAAATCATCTCAAAGATGTCCTGAACCAGAAAATGGACATACAAAACCGTATCTGTTAAATTACTAATAATAAGTTAAGTAGAATCTGCTGCACGAAATAAGCTGCGGCATCGAAAAACCCTGTACATTTTGTTTTTATTAAATAATTTTTTTGTTTTTATGATTAAGAAAATCGCTTTCGTTCAATAAATAAGTTAATATTCCATATTAAAATACTGCGTTTAAATTTTTCAGTTATCTTTTTTAGTTTAGCAGGAATAACGATTTGAACTTTTTTTAGGTAACTGCACGAAATAAGCTGCGAGCCACTGTAGGAGAAATAGAAAAAATTTTTAATCAAATATAATTTATTAGATCTGAGGTGCCTCCTTCACTGCGTTGAAAACTTCTTAATAAAAATGTAATGCACTTGCAAGGATATAACAGGTTTAATTAAAATGTACGAATTTGGATTCGTTATAGTGGATTTCCTAATAGCTGTAATTGGTAATTGGTTTTAAATTTACCTTGTGTTTTGCCTCTATGCTCTTCACAATGTCAAAGTGCTGTACAATTAAGGGGTTATATACCTTTTTTATTTTCAAAAAATCGAAAATTTTTTTATTGCTTTATCTTAAAGAACAACTTCTTGAGAACATTTTCCCAAATTTTCATAGAGATTCGAGCAGTAGAAAAAAGTTACAGCGCTCCTAACCGCGCGCCTCATAGCGGCCCGAAACTGAACTTGAAACTTTAAACGCGAATATCTCGAAATGGTGTTTCTTGAAAAATGACTTTGCGGTGTTAACGATTGGCGGAAAACTACTGAACCGATTTACTTCAAATTTTTTTTCAAATGTTCGTAATGAAATTATCTTGTGCTTGAACGATCGACTTTTCACGCACTTTTTTTTCGCCGAAATGAAATTTTTACTTAAGGCCAGGTTCCTCTGAACAATTTTGAAAAAAATGAAAAAATTTTTTTTTCATAAATTGCTACTATATACTTGTCGAAATAGTATAAAATAAGTCCCGAAGGTCAGCAAGGCCGAGAAGTACGTGTAAAAGAGTGGGGAGCGCTGCTGGTAGTACGGCCGCTCGAACGCCTTAAAAACTTTAAACTGATTTTTCTCCGAACCAAGTTTTTTCGCATGGGTGACACTCTCATTTCAAAACTATTGCACTTATCGATTTCAACCAAACGGCATTTCACTCGTAAGATGTCTGGCTATGGCCGGTACCAGAACCAGAAATATTCATTATTTTTTAAAAAAGTTATAAACAATTAAAAGTGAAAAAAGGGTTAAAAAAATTCAAAAGTCCGCCATTTTTTTATTTTTCATGGAAAATTTTTCATTCTGGTACCGGCCATAGCTACTTCGATGCAGAACACGAAACTATTTTGATTTTTGCATTCAGATAATTATTTTTCAAGTAATCGTGTCACCCATCTACGAATCGGACGAGTTTCAGCAGCCATTTTCAAGACCGCCATTTTGAAAAAGAATTAAAAAAAAATTTTTAAGTAATTTCATATACATACTTTCATATATAAAAAAAATTGAATACTCAACATTTTTTGTTATAAAAATAAAATTAATTGAAAAAAGTACGGTTTTCAGAGGAACCTGGCCTTAAATTTCTAGAGACCAAAAAGCTAATTTTTAGCATAAAACGTTCCTGTATGCATAAAAAAACAAAAAAATGTAAAATCGTTCGTTCAAGCACAAGGAATTACACTTAACTAAAGAATTTTTTTTACTTTTATGGTTTAAGTTGACCTGTTCGACCTGGGGAATTATCACCGCAAGGCTCTTCAAAAAAAAGGCCTCTAAGGGAAACAGCCACCCCTTAAAAACTATTTAATATATTTTCACGAAATTTTGCACAAACATTGTTAATAAAGTGTACTATCAAAAAATTAAAACACCCGTGTAATTAAATAATTGCTACATACCTAAAAAAATCCGAACTTTCCTCTTTTTCTTCGACAAAGAAGGTATATAACCCCTTAAAAAGAAAACAAGAAAGAAATTTTTGGATTTTAATGAAATTTTTTCTCGATTCAAGTGTTATTAAAAAACTCCATATATTGAAAACCATGCTCAACGAATAAAAAACAACGACGTTATAATTTTTTTTCCAATGTTTATATATATATATATTTCTGATCTTTCCTATGGCAGCTACAATCGTGGACATAAGTATCTTGACAATAATAAAAGTGAAATTTACTCGAATGGAAAGTTAACTTAAATGCCGTTTGAATGATACCATACTTTTCTTAAGGGGCACAACTAGTGTGACGGCCTAAAAAAATGGTGATTTTTGGGAATTTTTATAAAAAAAACTACTTGATCAATTCTTTTCAAATTTTCAGAATATATTTATACATGTTTGAAGAATATACAGTTAAATTTTTAAAGAAAAAAATTAAATATTTTTTAAGCTAGAGCCGATCTCCAATGGCGCTAAAAAAAAAAAAGTGCCCCAACTGCTGCAGTGATTCCGGCCTTCTCCGTGGATGAAATCAAAAAATGAAAAATTCTCGTTAAACTAGATGATATTGTCCATACAATGACCTACGATAAATAAAAAATATCAAAAATTGACAAAATGGCGGCGTTTAAAAAAAAAACATCGAATTTTACCCAAAATTTGGGTCGTTTTTGGCCTGCCAAAATTCGATTTTTGATCGGATCAAGAAACCGATAGGTCATTGTAGGGAGGACTATATATAGAACATCTAAAAAAAATTTGATAGTGATCGGATCATTAGTTTTTGAGTTATCACTGCAGCAAATTCGGAAAATGCAGTTTCGAGAAAAACGCGTTTAAAGATAAAATGATCGTATTCACTGCTATACGAGCGGCTGCTCTTATAATTGCTATAACTCAAAAACTATTACAGATATCGATTTGAAATTTTAATATGTTATTTTTTAAAGGTGTAATCTACCGAAATATGAAAGAAAAAAAAAAGATTTTTTTGAAATGTCACACTAGTTGTGCCCCTTAACTCTTTCGATATTTATTGAAAAGGGCAATTTAAAAAAAAAATGTACTTTTTTAACTTTTTCCCTCGTTTTGAAAACTAAAATTTTTGGATGCAAAAAGTTTCTTTAAACAAAAATAATAGTAACTGCAAAAAGAATTTTTTTGAATAGGTAAAAATCGAAGACGATCCAAAACACGTGCAAGCAAAGCAGCTGTCAACAATTAAGTGAAAATTCAAAATGGCCGAGCTTGTCGGCATAAGTGAGAGACATGAGTACTAACATAATGCCACAAAAAAAATCGAAATTCGATACAAGGTAACC